CCCCCAACACGACGCTCTTCCGATTGTGCGGTGGTGGACACAATATATATATATATATATATATATATATATAATCCTTGTTATCCAACAGAGCTATAAAAAAAATGCTAGCATCACAAGCGTCCTATTTGCACACTCCAGTAGGTCTGGCACTTCCTTTAAAAACTTTGTTTACAAGATCAAAGAACATTTTTTAACTCCATTTGGCATTCTTTGTGGCTTATTGAGCTGCTCTGACAGACTCCACACGTGCAGAAGACTTCCATCTTTCATCCTGTCCCCATCTATTACTTGAGAAAAATAAATTGCTTCATCTTCTTAAAGCCCTTGGAATATGCATATGCCATCTGGTTATTAACACTTTACTTTTATTGCAGACAAAGATAAATCATGATTAACTTGGGTGTGGATTCTAGGGTAGAAAAACTGGCTGTCCAGACAAAAAGCTGAATATCTAATGAGAGTTTTGCCTTTTATCTAATATATGCCAGCTTTGATTTTGAAATGCAATATCAAGTTTGAAAGAAAAGTTGATTGTTTGTTTTTTCAAGAGAAGATGAGATTGCAGTAAACTATTATGTAGAAAATATTTACCTTAAAAATGTTACAAATTCAATAACGGCACTTAAACAGGCAAACATGCTTTTTACAATGCACAGCAGTGAACCCCCGCCACACACACACACAAACACACACACACAAAAGAAAAAGAAACAAAAACAAGATAACTCATTTAAATATGCTAACTGGGCTACTTTGGAAATCTTTGTCATTATTGAACTTTTTAATCTGTTTCGGGGTTGAGTATTCATGAATAACAGATTTCAACAACAGTAAATAAGTTATTTTTTACTGCAACTGGAGATTGCAAAATCTTAAAACATTTATAATATTTTTATATAGAAAATTATTAAATCTAAATCTCAAAATAACTTGAGAAAAACAGCATACAGAAATTCACATTGTTCTTTTTTTTATTTTATTGTTTTTCATTGGGTTTTTTTTAATGCATGTGTCTGTATATATATATATATATGTGTGTGTGTGTGGGGGGGGGGTTCTTCTGTGCTCTGTCTTGTTGTTGCTGTGACATCTGAGTTTCCTAATTGTGGGACTAACAAAGTCTTCTATTATCTTGTCTTGTTTTTATAAAAGAAGAAAAAAAAATATTTAGAAAAAAAGATGTTCAAACTTGGCATATACTTTGTCAGGCTCCATTTAGCTTTTTTTATTTGTTTGTTTTTGTTTTCAACACACATCATTAAAGTGTTCTTTTCCAAAGACTATAACTTATTGGTCATAAAATATCTTGCTATGGCATCATGAGCATTTCAGCAAAACTTTTCATGAAAAATAATAGCTCTATATTATTGATAAAATTTTAAAGAAGAAAAAAGTGATTATTTAAAAAACATTTACATGCTTGAGAGTTATTTATTTAAATGCTTATTGTGCATATTACTTGTGTATAATCAGGTTGTGTTAAGTGATATTGTTAACTGACAGTGTTAACTCTTGACACAGTCCAATCATCACTTACTGTACCATCATGGAGGAGATGAGCAGCCATATGCAGCTGCTGAGCAGCTCTCTGGGACACCAGAGGTCCAAGCAGTTCATTGAAAACTGACACAAAGAGCATGTGACAAGTTGGGAACGAGAAAGTGTTGACCCTCTAATAGGACTTATTTTATCTCTACTTCCTTTCATTCGCTCTCTACAACTCAGCCAGCATTGTGGCAGATTGCTGTGAGAAAACGAGGCAGTAATCCCACAGGTTCATGAAATCCTCTGATCTAACACTTTGTAATCACAATGGGGGGTCGTATTATCCTTGTCACAAGGTGCTTCAGCAGAACTGTGTCCTCCAAGTAGCTTTCGTCACTGATGCCGACTTGACTTCTTATCAAAGCCCAAGAGGGCTGAAGTGCAGAAGCTGACATCCCCACATCTACTGGAAAAGAGCAGAGGTCAGAGGAACCCACTGGCCAGCCTCTTCTTATACTCTACTTCAGTATGGAAAACTACTGAGAAGTAAATGTAAAGTAGTCTAAACTGGTGGAATGTCATTGTTTAATCCTTGAACAGGTTTTCTTCATTTTATGCATCAACACTTTTTGTCTGAGGTTTGTGCAGCTGAAAAAGAGTGGACCATATGTATGTATATGTTTCATTGAATTCATTCATGAAACAATAAGAAACAAAGGTCTTTGGAGTGTGCATGTGTTTGTAAGAGCATAAGGTCGACATTAGAGTTGTCTCATATTCATGCAACAACAAAAAAAAGTATCTATCTCTGCAGACAGCTTTTACCTTTTGGTTGGCTTATTTGCTTTTTGACTCAATCAACGTTCACAGTCCAGCAGAAGAGTAAAAGAAACAGCACAACAGCAATGGAAGCTATTTTCATAATCCTCTCTGCTTACACTGGAGACCACTGGAGCACTGTCTTGCAACATCTGGCTGCAGCTTAACATTTCCCTTTTGCCCCCATGAGCCCAAGGGCACACAACACTTCATGCATACTCACACATCTATATACACACACACACATTCCTCTGGGGTGCGATGCAGACTGACTACAAAGTGATTTTACACTGTGACGGTGTGCGGTGCCACATTGTGTTTGTGTGCCTGTACATCTGCTGATGGTACAAAGTCTGTGTAGTGATGCCAGTCTTTAAACGCCAGGCCGTCACAGGCAGAGCTGTATGGGGCCTGATAGTCCAGCAGTATCCCCTGATCGCTCCAGTCCAGGAAGCAGAACACAGCTGCTGTGGCTCCAGAGCCCACTGGCCCCAGTTCTTGAGAAAATCTCCTGAGTTAAAGGGTGACAAAATGGCTAACACCTCAGTTGAAAAAACCTTGCACATACTTTCTTTTTAACACTGTGTCACATTGACAACAGCTATTTTCTTTAAAAAATAAAATAAAATCTAATGGTTATTTGACCAAAAATAAAT